GTCCAGACCATAATTCTTGCGCAATATTACGGGCCGTAATATCTTACGTAAGATTACATTTATATAATTTGCTGATGTATGTGTTTGTTTACAGACAAATATAGTGCTTTTTTATAGAACTCTGCCTGAGAACTCTAATTATAGCAGCAGGTGGCTTGAGATATAGATTCTTGGACAACAGCAGTACCTGGCTTGAGATATGAATTAGGATAGACAACAAAGCTATCCAGAGTTGGTAGAAAGATCAGAAAGTAAATTTAACATCAAGACGAAGCTTTATAGTAGAGATATACAAATATTGCATTTGTTATATAATTTTTATCAGCTATACACAGGTTATAATAGTGTCTTTAGGGTTTTAGATTTTTTTTATGTTTTTTCTTTTTTTGCAATTAATATTTTTTTTTTCTTTTTTGTTTTTTCTTTTTTTTTTTAGTTATTTTTGTTGCTCTTTGTTGAAAAATTTTCTCTTTTTGTCTTGTGCCTCTTGAGAAGAAGAAAGAATTAGAAAGAAAAAAAAAGTTCCTAATGTGGTATATAACAATCTGTCAAATGATTAAGAGGATATCCTTTGTTAATACAAAATCTGAAGCAAGTTTCAGATCTTGCCTTGAGATTAATAGTTGTTATAGCAAGTCGCATTGATCTTTGGCTTGATGAGTTTTTATTAGAATAGAGTATTACACTATTCTAGATAGCAGCAGGGAGGGCTAGCAGATCGGTGTGTGTAAATTTTCATACACGTAGAACCCCCTTTGGCACCCTCATTGGGCTCACTATTATATATAAAAAATGCTATATTTTTTGCTATTCTACTTGGCTTTAGAACCGGATTAGAAGGTCTATATGATGGTGTAAATCTTTATATACCAAGAATGTACTCTAACACCTTCTACCTATTAAGTTTACTAATTTTTTTTTCTTGCCTACTCGAACTCTTGTTAACTTTAAGTTCGCTAATTTGTTTTCTTATCTATTTGAAGTTTTGTTAACCTTAAGTTCACTAATTTGTTTTCTTACTTACCCAAAGCCTTGTTACCTTTAAATTGTTATGGATGGACTAGGTGTGTAAAAAAATTTTTGTATATAATATAATCAAATTGCCTCCTAATAGCATACTATATAAATAGCTAAAGAAGAGGTAGGAGCATAAGCCCTTAGGGCGATGCGGATGCCCTTGTCAAAAAAATATAACAGAAATATAAGCGTAGTCCTTTAGGGTAAAGTGAATATTTCTGTTATATTTTTTGACCTATATTGCTATCCTATTTTAGTATGCTATTAAAGGAGGTAAATAGATTCACCTTTGGGTGACTTTTTTGTTACCCTACTTCACATTTTCTTACCTACCCAAAGCCTTGTTAATCTTAAATTGATATGGGTGAACTAAGATGTGAAAAAAAGACAGATTGAGTATGCGCAGTGTAATCAGTCATTGGGCCTTGTAATTTCATCACTTGAAGCTCTGACTTTGAGCAATTATTGCAAAAAGTCAGTTCTCGAAGCCTATTAATATATTGGGTTACATAGCAACACTAGCATGTTTTCTGCAAAGACCGGGTTCAGAGCTAGTCAGCTTGCTACAAACCTTGCAGAGAAGACGCTTGACCTTGCTCTCCTGCTTCTTCGGCTCTGTTCGCTGACAGCTCTAGAAGCAATTCATCGATTTTCATTCAAATAAAAGCATCTACCTCTAGGTGTAAAAAAAAAATCGGATAGCATGATGTAAAAAAAATGGCTAGCAAGATGTAAATAAAAAATTATCAGCTAAAATAATCTAGCTCTACTAATCTCCAAAGAGGTCAATACCCATATTCTCACCATCCGAATCAATCAGAGCTTTAGGAATATTACCAGAGGTAATGATTCTGGATTGAAGGATCGTAACCTCATTACCAGGCTTGAAAATCAGAGCTTCATTTCTAGTATCTTCTGATTCTTCGCTCATGATTGGAGCAATAGTGCTGGTCACCCGTAGTGCTTCGATCTGTAGACCCTGCTCTCCTGCTTCTTCAGTTTTGTTCGCTAACAGCTCTAGAAGTAATTCATCAATTTTCATCCGGATTAAATCATCGGCATTAGCTTTATTCCGAAGTCTATTAAAATATTGGGTCACATAATAGGTACCAGAATGCTTTCTGCAAAGGCCGGGTTCAGAGCTAGTCGACTTATTGCAAACCTTACAAGGAATGCAAGGTTTAGCTTTCCAATGTTCAAAGCAACCTTCTGGCATTTTTTCTCACAAGCTTGAAAAAAGAAATATAGTAATTAATTTAGGATTTAGCTGGTTGCTATACAAGATTAAGTGAAGACAGATATGATTACTTACTCAAAAGCTAAGATAATTAATTATTTTTATTTGAACAAAATATTTTGTACTATTA